CAAATTAAATTAAATTTGTCTGACAAAGCAGCAGCTCTCATTTACAGTCATCACGTTCGGCTCGGTATATTTCTCCTCTCAGTAGGGTTGTTTACAGCACACRYGATTTCCGTTTAGCTTCTTAGCTTAGCCTCCKTCACACCGACAACAACATACAGTACAWGCTTCAGCAGAGGCCACGCCTCCTGCAAGAAACGATTCTCTATGCAGCAAGTCCAGAYCCTAGTACGAAGCAAAGKGAAGRACAKGGTCTGGTTTTAACCAGGCTAGTGTTACGTGGCTCAAAGGTCACAATTTTAAACAATATGCTCCATAAAGCAAAACATTTCTACATTTGTGTCATTCATAAGATGGTTAAGTGTCATTTCTGAAATTACTATATGAGTTTGTGATATTATTGACTTAAAATAAGTGATAATGTTGTTGCCTTTTAATCAAACTCTTATAGWAATTATTAGACGTACAATTATCCTATTACTGTTTGGAATCACTCTAATTCAGAAAGGCCATCACAGCTAATTGATAGTCAACACACATGTACCAACTTTCAGTTTAAAAAAATGAGTAAATATGAGGTGTAGTGGTAGATGAGAGTAATTGTCTTAATGTATTCTGAGCACTACATGTTGAACTTGATCTTTGCTTAAAACTTTGGCATCATTAGTCTCAACATTGTCTTTGGAAAAATATCTCAAAGGCAATTATTGGATGTCCATCTACAACATATTACCTTTAGGAACAACCCAATTCAAGATAGCTCCACAATAACCAATTTTAGCCAACACACACAAAAAAAAAAAACAACTATAATAGTCATTTACAGATATTGAGCTAAAATTTCATCTCAGGCATGTAYGTCAATAGCTAACACATTCCTGATCTGAAATATCTTCAAAACTATTAAAAATCTACTTTGTGTTTTGCAGAAATGTGCTCAGACACTGATTCAGATAAAGCAGCAAGTGACAATGAACCAAGTGAAATGGATGAGGATGAGGATGAGTCAATTGACCATAAAAAGCAACAAAGAAGTTCAAATCAAAGCAAAAAGTCAAAGGAAGCTGCTGGTGGTAAGAGACTAAAAATGGTACTATTGCACCAAAGTGGATTAAATGCCACATCATTTAATGGGATCCCTGATTAGTTGTAACATTAGACTTTATTTAATAAACATATATTTTAACTGTAAAATAAAGACTGTAAAAATACTGTAGGATGCTTAGTTTTTATAATTTTTAACTAAAAGTTTAAAAATATAGTACACGGACAGGGCCATTTTATTTACATGCAATGCATTCTGGGTAAATGCTGACGTGGGTAGGTCATCAGTGCGAGGCTACTAGCAAGCTATAGCTACCCTGAAGGTTAATCTTGGACAAAATCTGAYGTTTGGCTCTTTTAAATGAAACCAGAGAGCGTTGACAGAGAGGAGAAGGTAGAAATGACTCAGCCTGTAACTGAAAATATGGATGGAGGACAACAGAGCTGCTTCATGGAAGAAGAACCTCAGTTTAGCTTGTTTGTCGCACTAGCACCGAGCTAATACATATAAGGCAATATAGCGTCAGTGCTAGCACAAAGGCCAACAGGCTAAGTTGGGGTTCTTCTTCCATGAAGCAGCTCTGTTGTCCTCCATCCATATTTTCAGTTVCAGGCTGAGTCATTTCTACCTTCTCCTCTCTGTCAACGCTCTCTGGTTTCATTTAAAAGAGCCAATCCTCAGATATTGTCCAAGATTAACCTTCAGGGTGGATTTAGCTCGCTAGCAGCCTCGCACCGAGGACCTATCCACATCATCATTTACCCAGAATGCTTTGCATGTAAAGAAAATGGCTCAGTCCGTGTTAAAATATATATTTTAAAATGTACAAAAATAAACAGCATACAGTATTTTTACACTCTTTATTTTACAGTTAAAATATATGTTTATCAAATAAAGTCTAATGTTACAACTAATCGGGGATCCCTTTAAGGATATGCTGCATAAAGAAAAACCTAACCATGGTTTGGTGTTTTAGTTGTTAACCGTGAACTTATTGTACAAGTTTAAAATGCAATGGCCTTTAACTTCATCACTGGCAGTTGATAGGAAATAGCAATAATGTTTTAGTTTGTCACTGTGTGTGCATTTGTCTGTCATGTTAACAAACTATTGCATGAACTACTAAAACTAGGTCTATTCAAGGAGTGGCCCAGGAGAGAGATACAGCCCTTTTTAGTATTACTCAGGCCCCCAGAAAACCAACAGAATCTAACACTGACCTGTCTGATAATTTGAAAAACATATATGTCAGAGCTACTTGTAAAACTCAAATGTATGTTAAACAATTTAAAGTATCAACTGGTGTAAAAGGCAGTAAAGCAGGATGAACAACTAATGGCATTTACAAGGTTTGAAAAAAACAGCTACAACACTGTCCTTTCTACCATAAAGCGATGTTAATTTATTTGGCCTTCTTTCAAGGAATTCTAGAATCTTTATTTCTCGTAATGAGAATAATAAATTGGAATGTTTTCTAAAAGTCATATAACAATACAAGACCCATCAAAAAATCGACTATCTGTTTTGCATAAACGTTCTCTGGCAGATCCAAATGAAATGTCAAGTGACAATGAACCAAGTGGAACTGATGAGAAAAAGGAATTGTTGACTGACCAGAAAAAGCAACAAAGAAGTTCTAAACGGATCAAAAAGTCAAGGAAAGCAGCTGATGGTAAGAGAGCCCAAGAATCACATTGTGTAAGACTAATATAACAACTTTTCAGAGTGATTAGAAGCACAACTCTTGCATTTTTTTAAATTTTAATATTGATGGGAGTTAAATGTTGTATCTGATTTTAATAAGGAGAAAATACATATCATGTGAACCACGGTCAGTGTGAGGAGACAGAAGGCGTGAAGGACTTGTCCACCCGCACAAGACGTAAAAGACCGAGCCCTCTGGTCGAGGATTTTGTGATTGGTAAGTAATAAATTACTTACTGCAGCAAAGGTTCCTGAAAACTTGCAACAGTTTTTGTCATAAATAAAAGGAAGTCTGGTTGACCCAATAATTCAAAGATTCACATTCAACGTTTTTAATAAAATTGGTCAGTTTCATTGTTATCTTTGTTGTGTTAGCAACAAGCAGTCAGACATTTGACATTTGTTCCTAGATCCAGGGGTTCAGTTCGTTTGTGGCTTGTCTGATGTCGATGCCATCATCAATGAAACTGCTGAGTTAACGTGTAAACTTAGCAGTGAGGACTGTGAGGGAKTCTGGTTCAGAGATAACAAAAAGGTGAGCAATAAAGGTGAACTAATTCCATTTTTCCTCAAAGTGGTTGGTAATCAGTCTACATTATTTTGACCCAGAATGATTTTAGGTCTGTCATACGGTTGTGTGAATGTGTGACTGTTGACGTTATTTGTTGTAAGTTGTATACTTTTTTATTGATGTTGGTTTACTAAAACATGATACAAACATGCAACTTTTTAAAGAGATAAAATTGAGCATATGCAAAGAATAAAAATCTATTTCCAACATTCTTGGCCAGGGAAACAAAAGTGAGAAAAATCCAAGATGCACCGATTGCATTTATTGTATGTTACTAATGTTACTTATGCACTAACTCATTAGTGCCTGCCATATGTATAGAAGAAGAGGCATTTTACCGATACTTTTAACYGCTCCCTTAATTCACCTTCATTAGGTGCAGACCTTAAAAACCAGAGTTCAAGATTGATTAAAAAGAAAGRCAAAAAGGCTGCATTACTTTGAGTTGACATCACATTCCTCTAAAAATCTGAGCAGCTCACTAAATGTAATAATTTGCAGATGGATACAGTGTAAGGATTCTTATGGCCAAGTTTGTGCATTGCTTGTGACATTRCTGATTAAAAACCCTTAAGAACAGATATTTAAACATGAAATTAAAATGAAAGATGTTAAAAACATATGTCCACTAGGTCGTTCAAACTGAAACAAACATGTTGTTCTGTCGCGCTCATATTTCAAATTGATTTTCACAATGTCTGAACTATAACAGTCACAGCATGATGTAATACAATGTCACAACAAAGGCTTTACAGTCAAATGGCGACAATGTTTCTTGTTGCCGATTTTCTTTCTTGGATACAGCTTAACGTGTGGATGTATGATGTTTTTAGAAGATTCTGAAGGATGACAAATGCAGAGCAAATATCCATGATGTTTATTCCTGAGCTCAAAGAGAAAAAAAGTGAAAATGGTGCAAAAGATGGAAAGTTGTTGATAGTCCAGTACAACAGTCTGCACAGTCCTTTGAGCTTTTGACTTTGTCTTCTCACAATTTTTAACTTCTCCTTGTGTTCAACCATGAAGGATTACGGGTTAAACCTGAGTTGGGCAATCCTTTTCCTCGGGGGCCGCTATCCTGCATGTTTTACTTGTTTCCCTGCTCCAACACACCTGATTCTAATTGGATTACCTCTTCAAGTTCTGCAGAAGCCTGTTAGTCACCCATTCATTTAAGTCTGGTGTGTTGGAGAAAAGAAACGAGTGAGACATGCTGGATGGTGGACCTCAAGGACTAAAATTGTCCACCCTAAGTTAGATGTTCAAAACAAGATTTTTTTTGACAAAAAATAAGAAGAGAAATGTTTTTAATACTGTTGGAAATGTAAACACTGCTGTGCCAAACTACAGTTTTTAGCCATAAATAACATGCTTAAGAGAGACGCATTCCCACTGCAGCTACTGAGACTAGAAACCACCTTTGTTTATCATCTCTAAAGTTTGCACAGGACGTATTCAGCTTCACTTGGTAACTTATCAGCAGCTTTTTCCAATTATCCGAGCCTATGTGAGGTGTCACTCTACTCTGACTTTTGTAGTGGTTTAGATTAAATAAAACATCTTTACTGTGTTGGATTGCCTTTGATTTGTTCGCCTTAATTTGTCAGATTTTCCCAGATGACAATTTCYTGATCACTAAAGATGGACCGATCTATAAACTTGTGATAATGAAGTGCAAAGAAGAACACTCTGGGAAATACCGTTTTGAAGCAGATGGGCGGAAAACAGAAGCAATGGTCAACGTCAAAGGTTCGATAATTTGTCAAGGAAGCAAAAATGTTCAACAGAATACAATAAACTTAAAGAATATATATATTTGTGTGTATGTATATAAATTAGCACCACAAAAATCAGTACTTCGCTCTGAAAATGACTCATCCTTTCAATATTTAGATCCTCCTCGATTTGACCCTGAAGAACTCAGTGCTTTTGCTGAGCCTCTGACAGTTAAAGTAGGGCACCACGCTTTCTTCAAACTCCAATTTGTTGGCCACAAGCCAATAAAAATCCAGTGGTACAGAGACGGCGATGAGCTCCAAGAAGACAACAACACAAAAATAGAGAAGTCAGCGAGCCACAGCCGCCTCCTTCTGAGCAGATGCCAGAGGAAAGACACCGGGGAGATCAAGATGAAGCTGAAGAACGATCACGGCTTTACTGAGGCACGCTCACAGCTTATTGTATTTGGTGAGTGACTTGCAGGAAAGCAAAACCTAAACTGCAGGCATGTTTTCTTCCCCTCACTTACAGACTGCAGAAATTAGGGAAGAAGCTGTCAAGTAGAGCAGCCTCTAAAAATTAGAGACAATTACTATGCTTATTTTACTGGCTTGTTCCACAAAAATAGCAAAGAGCAACACTGGGAAGAGATGTTCCTKTGTTTTGAATGAGACAAAAAGAGAATCAACAATTTTCGTAGTCATAGTTGAGCATTTTACTAACATTTCAGACAAGCCAACTCCACCCCTGGGTCCAGCAGAAGTGATGGAGAGCTCAGCTTCATGCATTGAATTCAAGTGGCGGCCTCCAAAGGACGATGGAGGCTCACCAATAATCAACTACACACTAGAGCGTCAGCAAGTGGGACGAAACACCTGGAAGAAAATAGGAGAAGCTCCAGGCGTGCCCAGTTTCCGGGACACTGACGTGGACCGCGGACGAAAATACTGTTACCGCATCCGAGCGGTGACCTCAGAGGGGATAAGTGAAGTGATGGAGACTGATGAAATGCAGGCGGGCAAGTTTGGTGAGTAGAATTAATTAAATAATGGTGCAATGAGTGTTTTCAAAAATAATAATGGATTCTCATAAAAATTCTGAAATACCATTCTGCTCAGGAAAGTGGTGAGAATGTGCCCATTAAAACCATACAAAAAAATAAAATCTGCTTATATAAGTACTCACCCAAGATATTTTTTTTCTTTGGCACAGTTTAGGTATTAACCATTTCAGCATGTTATCAAAGTTTGTTGATAACAGAAGCAGGATGAATTAGGGCAGACAAAAAAAGTTTACAGAACAAAATATTGAGTTTCTCACAAAAAAATCAATCCAAAATCACAGTTTGCATGTGAAAAATTAAAAGCAAGTGCATCAGAAAATATCACTTTCTAAAAACACATGTTGTAGTAGACAGAGCCTTAGAACATAGCTACTCAGCTAAATTGCTCAGGGGGCTACATTTACTAAAAGCTCATGGGTCAGACATTCGGTGATTGAATAAATAATTTACTTTGTTTTCCTATTTAAAATGTAATTTAAACTAAATTAGGTTCTAAACAAAAATATAGTCTGTCATCCTTTTATGATTTAAAGTGTAATTAACCCCCACTGTGAAAGCATAACTCTGCCCCCAGAAATATTTGAAAAATTACAACAACACGCCCMTAGAGACACTTAGGGGCATGGCCAGGTAAGGGGATGAGTGAGAAGGTGTGGTCAGGACAACAGCTAGCTTAATTTGACAAGTTAACATTTCTGAAAACATTTATAAATGTTCAAAAGGAATGATTGTATTTTGTAAAAAATAAAGTTTCATGACATATATGCAAACTCACATGTAGTTGTTTCAAACTAGGATGTAACATTCAGGTAACAAACTGTTAACATAGGACTTGGGTCCAAACAAGAATATTTTCTTATTTCTGTTCGTGTCAGTGGTTCATTTGAAATTCACAAGTTCTCGCAAATGTTCTAGTGTCCTTTAGTCTCAATTAATTTTTCATCCACTTACTTTAGTTGGAATACATAAGCAGCAAAGTTCACTACAGTGAGCCAAACCATTTWTAACTTCTACTTAATGAACTACAGAGTAAAAATCTTGAGTCATCCCATTTTTTTTTTACAAATTTTGCTTTCTATGATCCAGATTTTCAGGTAATATTTATCTCAGTCCTGGTCAAACATCCTTCAAGCAATTCTATGCGTTACTGCAAAAACAGCATTTCTGAACTGCAGCAATGTGCTGATGGGTTTGCTAAAATGTTAACCAGGACAGTCTTTTTTTAGTTATTTTTTTACATTCTTCAGCTTTTCCAGGTCCTCCAGCACCTCCCAAGGTGGTCAGTGCATTTAACGACTGCATCAACCTTTCGTGGCTTTCACCAGCCAACACCGGGGGGTCTCGCATTCTGGGCTACATTTTGGAGAAACGTAAAAAAGGGAGTAACCTCTGGACTGTTGTGAACGCATCGAATGAGATAATAAAAGGTAGGAATGTTTAGCTTTGCTGTAGGGAAAAGTGAGGTTTCTGCTTGGAGTCGCATTGATGTTTTTTTTTTTTATTGTAGAGAAGAAGTATGCAGTGAAGGATGTTGTGGAAGGCATAGAGTATGAGTTCAGAGTTTCTGCTATAAACCTCTCAGGCGCGGGGGAATTTAGCAACCCATCCGAGTTTGTTTTTGCCCGGGATCCAAAAAGTAAGTAGTATCATTCTTGTACAATACATAAGACAGAATATAATGTAATAATACATACTGTATTATTGTACTTTTCAGAGCCTCCTGGTAAAGTAACAAGCCTGAAGGTGACAGAAACGTCTTACTCCAATATGGTCGTGACTTGGATCAAACCTGAGGAAAAACCAGGCGAGCAGGATGAGGCTAAAGGCTATTTTGTTGAGATCCGGCAGGCAGATTGTGTTGAGTGGTCCCGCTGTAACAGCACCCCTATCATCATGACTTCCTTTAATGTGAAAGGCCTCCGGTTCATGGAAATGTACTGGGTGAGAGTCATTGCTGTGAATGATGGAGGAGAGAGTGCACCTGAGGAGCTGCCCAGATACATCCTTGCAATGCCTTTACCTGGTATGACAACATCTAGTATAAAGAAATAGTTCCGATTTGTTTCTTACATTCTGCTTATAGCTCTTTTAACAACTTCAGTTGTGTTCAAAATGTTTAAATAATATTCTGCCTTGTTACAATATGACAGGTCTTTTGTCAGTATATTTTCTATATTAATGTAGTTTAGCTTTCTGAAGTTATACTGTTGTTTTGTTTGATTTAGTGAGGCCAAAGTTCACAAACAAGAAGACAAAGAGTTTCATTGTGGTGAGGGCGGGGAACTCTGTTAGGATCACAGTAAACTTTGAGGTGAGGTTCATATATATGTATTTATGCGACTAGTACTTTCTAAGGCTAGCCTTGTTTAAGTTCAATTAAAATTATTTCTAACATGAACTCATGCTTGTTCAACAGGCCTCTCCTCAGCCAGACATTAGTTGGTTAAAAGACAACGTGCCTGTGTCGAAGCGTGTGACGATCAGTAACTCAGATAGTTCGTCTCAGCTGCTGATCCCCACCTCAGAGCGCTCTGATTCTGGCATCTACTCCATCTTGGTGAAAAATCTGGCCGGACAGGAAACGTTCAGCACAGAGGTTAGAGTAACAGGTAAACCTGAACAATATTTCTTTTGCAAAAATATGAGTTTGAAAATATTTAAATGGGAATAATCAAAAGGTCAAATTTGTAAAAATAAAAAAAATTTAAAAAACTGTGTTTCCAGATGATCCAAAGCCTCCTGGACCGGTGGAACTGGAGGAAAGCGTGTCTGGTACAGTGACGGTGATCTGGCAACCTTCCCCTGACGAGAAGCGTGATGACCGTCTCCACTACACTGTTTCCAAACTGGACTCAACCAAACACACGTGGACCACAGTGGCTGACAGGCTCTTTAACAACAAGTTGACAGTTTGCAACATAATGCAGGGGAGGGAGTATCACTTTCGGGTGTACGCCAAAAATGACATGGGCATATCGGCACCCTCAGAGTCACCAACATGGGGCAAGGAGAAGAAGAAAGGTGTGTCTGTGTTTTGTAAAGTCACAAATAATCAGTTTACAGGCTGAAAAAAAATGTATCGTCTCTTGCAGAAAAACATGTGATAACTGAACCAACAAGTAAGGATTGTGATTTGCGATGCGCGCCGACGTTCATCGTTCCGCTGAAGCTTCAAACTGCGACAGTGGGTTTTGAATGCTATATGAGCTGTGCGGTGAAGGGAAACCCCTCACCTCGCATCACGTGGTATCGAAACCACGTCAGTCTAAACACGGACACCAACTATTACATCTCCAACATCTTTGGAGTTTGCTCCTTAATGATCTTCTGGGTGGGGCCCAAAGACGCAGGGGAGTACACAGTTACTGCAGAGAACAGCTTAGGACGAGCCGAATGCTCCACAGTGCTCAACGTCAGAGGTAAGAGGGGAATGCCACTGCAATTATAGTACAAAAAACAGCAAAGATTGAGAGTAATTTTTTTTTTGTCTTTCTCATACAGAGTGAAGAATCTAATGGAATCTCTGACTACAGATTACAACTTCTGGCAAAAAGTATGGAATCACCAGTCTGGGATGAGCACTCATTCAGACATTTCATTCTGTAAAACAAATTCAGATCAAAAATATGATCAAGGTCATTCCAAACTGCAACTTGTTGGCTTTCAGGGACACTCAAAGAAATGAAGTGCACACACTTCCACAATGTTTTCTCTTCATTTCTTTGAGTGTTCCTGAAAACCAACAAGTTGTACTTTGGACTGACCTTATTATTGTATCATGTTTTTGATCTGAGTTAGTTTTACAGAATGAAATGTCTGAATGAGTGCTCATCCAAGACTGGTGATTCCATACTTTTTGCCAGGGGCTGTATTTGTTCAACACAGGATGTGATACTTACCATCTACTCAGCAACTATTGAGTTCAAAATTCAAAAGTAAAACATCATATTCATGTTGGCCTATGTCTGTCAAATTTTAAATATGAAAAAAAATCATGTTTTCTAACCAAATTATTCACATGACACAGCTGCCTAATTGTAAATTTGATTTTCACCTAAGAAGATTCTTGAGACTCTTTATAAAAATATACAAGGGTGACTTCAGTTATTTTATACTTTTGTTTTATTGTGAGTTCTTTTTTTGCAAAGTTTAATACTTAATTCAAGATGTGACACATTTTGAATACTGTAAGATGTTGACTGTCAGCTTTAAGTATGTTTGATGTGTAATTAACGTACGTAAAATATTTTTTATTAGAACTATCACAAAAAACAAGTTTTAGCTTTATGTTAAGTTATTTGGAACACAGTCTCTGTGTAATTCAATACTTTAGGCTGCACTTCTTTTTAAAAACATCTTAATAAAACAAATGAATGTTAATGCATGTGCATATCTGTGATTATTTATTGTTTTTCACATTAATAAATACCAAGACTAGAACACTGAAACTTTCCCTTGCACTTTTTCTCTACATCAGACTGTTTCTGTTCTGAATGGCGTTCTCTCCTGCAGCTCATCACATTTACAAGAATATTTTTATTAAAAAGATTAAATTATGTGTACAACCAAGATTACAGCAGCATGCATCAATAGTCATTGCATAAATTTGAATTACTACAACCCTGATTTTTGCTTCAATGTTTAACAGCATTTAGTCTAATATTGATTGCATTTTTTATGACTTTTGTCATAAATGATCTGGTTTTGACCACAATATTGTAGCAGTTAGTCTCTTACAACATTTAAGGTCCTTGTAGTAAACATCATTGTTGTTATGTTGTGACAAACTGTTTATTTCCAACTTTTAATCTAGCTTGACATTCAGAAATAAGCAATACTTTTCATTTTACACCTTTTAGTTGCACTAAATTAACCCACTATTTAGCCATTTAGGGCAACCAGAAAGGTAATCATATAAAAACATGAACATTACTTYAAAAAAATAAATGTTTGTTCCGATGCACTGTTAAAGGGGGATGTCCAACTCAGTCCAAGCCAAAGGTAAATCTCAATATTTGTTGAAAAAATGCGTTAACTGACCTTGGTTTTTAGATGTAATAGTTCACGTTGTTCATATAGAAATACAAATCACTTTTATCCCGTTACATTGATTGCAATGAAAATAGAAGATGATGGTTCTGCAAGTTTCTTCACAGTCTTTTCTGCCCACTGCTACAACAGCACCATCTATGACAAGATGTAATAGCAGCAGAACAGAACACAAAAGAATAATCTCAAAGTTGAACATCCAAGAACATGGTGTGAACACATTGAACAAGGAGGCTGACATATTGATTTGAGGGAAGGTTGACAAAATGGTATGAAGTTACAATGTGAATGACAGCACATCTAACAACATCCAGACAGAAAATATTAACTTTTTCAGATTGTAAGATAAAAGAAAAAAAAATGGAGCTGTCCACAACGTAATTTTCCCTTAAAAGAGGGGTATTATGCAAAATTCTAAGTTTTGGGCTTTATATCATGTTATGATGTTGTTATGGAAATATTTATTTAACAAAGACAGAAATACGTGGTCCAAGAATGAAGGTAGTCCRTGGAATGATCAGCTGAGTTTTATCGCAACAACAGGAACACAGAGAACAACATCAGACTGTCCCCCTGCTCTCTGGGCCTGTCTCTGCGCTTCTGCTTCTGTGTCACTCCTGATGCAGTTGAGAGGCCTCATATATATAT